ATCTACGATTTTGATAAAATACTTATATATGAAATTTCATCAACCTAGCTGTAACGGTACTCAAGTTATCGTGTTTACACACGGACAGACAGACAGACAGACAGACACACACACACACAGACATACGGACAAGATTGCAAAATTATGTTTTTCCGTATCAGTGAGGTGTAAAACGTCGAGATTTGTAAAAATCTCGATTTTTTTTTTTTGCACGATTACAATACTTTCTCTATACTACGTATATACGAGAAAGTAAAAAAGAAATGTAAAAAAAAAAACGCTCCACGTAAAAATAGATTTCGCGAAAAAAATAAGAATGTGAAAAATTTCGCACTAAGTTCGAAGCGTTCAAATTACACTTGCAATATACAAAAAAAAAAAGAAAGACACAACAAAAAATAATAAATGAAAAAAAAAATATTTCCGCACGAATGTGAGAGGTCATAATTTAATTAAAATTAATCAAAGTACACATTAATTATTTAATTTATAGCCGCATTAAATAATGCGACTGACCCTAGTTCAGATATAGCTATTAAAAAATTACTCGATTTCATTCATAGTTTGTATTTATAATTAACTGTTTCGCTACTTAGTCTACATCAGGGGTCTCCAAACTACGGCCCGCGGGCCGGATGCGGCCCGCGAGGACCTCTCATCCGGCCCGCGGCGATCTTTTTGTCCACGGAAAAAATGTTTGCTGGAGGTGGCTGAGGAACTTTGCCTGGAAAATTCAAAACAATTTGAACATGTAGCTTTGGGTCAAATACCTTTGCCCACCGTGTTGCAGACATTGGTGAAAACACTGTGACTCAAATAGCGAAAAATGCAAGGGGAGAGGAAGAGGGGGAGTATATGTTCTTCGGTGGGGAGGAGGGGGGGGGAGAGGGGTATATGTTCTTCAGTGGGGAGTGGGCGGGGGTGGCTCCAAAGAGATGCCTGGAAGAGACTGGCCCCCGAACTTATATTTGATAGTTAATGCGGCCCTCGGGCTGAAAAGTTTGGAGACCCCTGGTCTACATCAATAAGCTTAGTTTGTAATTAGCTTGTGTGACTACTTAGCGGTACAGTGCATTGTAACAAAAGAAAATATTTTTATGGACTTTCCTTTCCTTTGTCCAAAGTAAAATATTTTATTAAGTTTATTGCGAGAAAAACGGTAATTTGTTACGTCAATTTGAACTGGTGCTTGACGACTGTGTGATTTTCAAGTCGGTCTAGTTTCGTTTTCGATTTGTATTTGTTACGATTAGCCGGTCTAGTTTAGTTTTCTATTTGTATTTATTACTGTTTGTATTCGTAACTGTTAGCCTGTCTGATTTTTCTTCTAGTTCTGCTTTATGAGTTGCTTTATCTTTTACGTCTCATTTTATAGTCGAGTTACTTGAGATCTTGATACGTCCTTAGAAACATTTTGGAAGTTCTGATAATCCTGGATTAAGATTACCACCGTATCGGTGCCTTTAGGCCTCGTTTTATTCTAGAGACTTAGCCGAGGGTCCAGGAATACTAAACATGTGCACACAACTCTTTAGGTTCTGATTGTTTAAGTTCGTAGATTATCTTCTGATTAAGTTCTTAAATTTAGTTATGGAGATAATATAGCTCTTAGATTAAGTTCTGATTATTAAGTTAAGATTGTAGACGACATTCTTTAAGATTCCAGAACAGGGGTCTCCAAACTACGTCCCGCGGGCCGGATGTAGCCCGCGAGGTCCTCTCATCCGGCCCGCGCAGATCTTTTTGTCCACGGAAAAAACGTTTGTTGGTGATAGCTGAGGAACTTTTTCAGAAAAATCAAAGATATGTCCGGAAGAAACTGGCCCCCGAACTGAAATGTAATAGTTAATGTGGCCCTCGGACTGAAAAGTTTGGGGACCCCTGTTCTAGAAGAAAGTAACTTATTGAAGTTTCTACATAAGGTCTTCATTAGGGTTTAACTTTTCATAATTTAAGAAGTTGAAAAAAAAAACAGCGAACTATAGTGACGTCTTTGTCAATGTTAAAAATGTTGTTACTGAAATCGGCAAAGGCTATTATATGAACCCAGGGTCCTACATACAGCAGCCGGGTAGATGTGAACCTAGGGCCCTACATACAACGGTCGGGGAGATGTGAACCTAGGGCCCTACATACAGAGGTCGGGGAGATGTGAACCTAGGGTCCTACATACAGAGGTCGGGGAGATGTGAACCCAGGGCACTACATACAGCCGGGGAGATGTGAACCCAGGGTCCTACATACAGGGGCCGGGGAGATGTGAACCTAGGGCCCTACATACAGAGGTCGGGGAGATGTGAACCTAGGGTCCTACATACAGAGGTCGGGGAGATGTGAACCCAGGGTCCTACATACAGAGGTCGGGGAGATGTGAACCTAGGGTCCTACATACAGAGGTCGGGGAGATGTGAACCCAGGGCACTACATACAGCCGGGGAGATGTGAACCCAGGGTCCTACATACAGGGGCCGGGGAGATGTGAACCCAGGGCACTACATACAGCCGGGGAGATGTGAACCCAGGGTCCTACATACAGCCGGGGGGATGTGAACCTAGGGCCCTACATACAGCGGCCGGGGGGATGTGAACCTAGGGCCCTACATACAGCCGGGGAGATGTGAACCCAGGGCCCTACATACAACGGCAGGGGAGATGTGAACCCAGGGTCCTACATACAGAGGTCGTGGAGATGTGAACCCAGGGTCCTACATACAACAGCCGTGGAGATGTGAACCTAGGGTCCTACATACAGAGGCAGGGGAGATGTGAACCTAGGGTCCTACATACAACAGCCGGGGAGATGTGAACCTAGGGTCCTACATACAACAGCCGGGGAGATGTGAACCTAGGGTCCTACATACAACAGCCGGGGAGATGTGAACCTAGGGTCCTACATACAACAGCCGGGGAGATGTGAACCTAGGGTCCTACATACAGAGGCAGGGGAGATGTGAACCCAGGGTCCTACATACAGAGGTCAGGGAGATGTGAACCCAGGGTCCTACATACAGATGTCGGGGAGATGTGAACCCAGGGCCCTACATACAGAGGCAGGGGAGATGTGAACCCAGGGCCCTACATACAGAGGCAGGGGAGATGTGAACCCAGGGTCCTACATACAGAGGTCAGGGAGATGTGAACCCAGGGTCCTACATACAGAGGTCAGGGAGATGTGAACCCAGGGTCCTACATACAGAGGTCAGGGAGATGTGAACCTAGGGCCCTACGTGAAACACCTGATGCGATACCGACTCGGCCATTTAGCGCGGCCCCCGGCAGTCTGTTGGCGGTGACGGTGGTACAGATGGGGGTCCTTGATTAGACATTGAGCCCCGGGGCAGACAAGGGTCGCGTGCTGTGGATGGTTTGTTCCATTAACCCCCAGCAGTAGCGCGTGGAGACACCCCCTCCACGAACCGGTGGTACAACTCCCTCCCCCAACCGGTGGTACAACCCCCTCCCCCAATCTAGCGTACCCCCAACCCTTTCCGTGGTTGCTGATGCGTTAGGCTGTGTTGATGGCGTCGGGCGAAATACAAGTGTAAATTGTCTCACCTTTAAAGTCTCACTTTCTATTTTATCAGCTAGCCTCATCTATGCAAGCACGCACCGTGCAAAATAAAACGACACAAAAATTCTTTGAATCGTCTGAGCTTCAAAGTACAAGAGAAACACCCCCTATTCATGGTTATTCAGTTTATATCTTCAAATGAATTTTTACTTTTCACACTTCCAAAAATATTTAAATAATATTTCGCGGCCTTTTAAAACGTAACCACAATAAAACACATTATGATCTTTTAGGTTTTCTATACTTTAATTAATTCCAATTTAAAAAAAAAATATATATCACCTGCTTAAATTAATGAGCTAGAAAGGAACACACCGGCAACTAATTGATACAGATGTACAATTATGATCTTCTTGCTTCGACGTATTATTTCATGTACACAATGTACACGGTACACAATAACATTTTTTTTTTTTACACATTTAGGTACACAAACCATAAGATATGGTTCATTTTTATTTTACCCGTAGAATTTCCGTGTTCGTCTTATTACTAGAAGATACTAAAAAAATAACGAAATCTAACCCTTAAGGTCTGCCATAGATTTTCGGCTGGTCAGTACTCGAACCCATCTCAAGTAGGCCGGTATGAGGTGGTCGAGTGCGGGCTGAATAGACCACGCGGTTGTACCCGTGTTTGAATGCGTGTCAAGAATCTCATCTCTCTACAAGGTGCTGGATCGCGCCCTGCCCGGCCAGGGGAGGGGAGGGGGCCCGGGGCGGACAACTGACCACCCACAATACGAGCAGGTCATAATGAAAAGACAGGAAAATACACTCTCAACTGTATAGCACTCTCAGTGGCCTGACGCCAACAGCCGAAAAAACAAAGTTACGGCTGGTGAACGAAAAGGTGACACAACCGGCGGTGTGACACTTTAATTAAACTACTCCCAGCTCTTAGGTGGGACAATTGTCGTCTGCGTCGTGTCGTCTGGCTGATGACCGCGGTCATCATTGAGATGACCGCGGTCATTATTACAAATGATCACCTACAGAAATTACATCCGCGTGGCCCCAGTGGTCAAACATGGAATTCCTTCAGTTTGCTGGTGATTTGATTACACGCTATTATGTAGGTCTGGGTTTGTACCATTTATCACGATAGTACCCATATGTAAAAAAATTGTACCCTATCACGATAGTGTATGCACATTAGTAAAATTATACAATTCATTAGATAGTCTACATCGGTACAATTGTACAATTCATTACGATAATGTACATTTGTTAAACTTATCACCCCAGAAACGGCTGTGTGAGTAAGGCCAAACCTGTTTCTTCAGATGTAATGAATCTAATTCATGCACGGAAGTCTTTTTTTTTTATACATATTGTTGCGAATTTGCATACATGACATTTCGTTTTAAGTTTTCTTATTACTGCTTTCATCAAGCAAGTTTTAATTTAAATAATTTTTTATTCTACAGTAAAAAAAAATGCAAGTTTTACCAGAGCAGCCCAGAGATTGTAGCATGCGCGTGCATGTGATGTAGGAGGTACTATCAGTATCAAGCCATGCACATGGAGTCACTTAAGGATTACATTTACACGCTGACCAGCAAAGCGTAAAACAACCTTGTCACATGGTCCTGTAGCCACCAGATCACATGACCAACCGCACCTGATTTTCATGAAAGGGGAAATATATTTTCTGTGGATTTTAATTTTTTGAAAGTTTATACACCGTGGTTTTCTACCATAGCACCCTCTGTCAAGATAGGAATCGAACCCCAACCTTAAAGGTGGTCATCTCACCTAAACACCCACTGCCAAGATAGGATTCGAACCCCAACCATAAAGGTGGTCAACTCACCACACCACCCTCTACCAAGATAGGAATCGAACCCCAACCATAAAGGTGGTCAACTCACCACACCACCCTCTACCAAGATAGGAATCGAACCCCAACCTCTGATCATGATGGTCCAGTGTGCGGGCTGTGAGCGCCCGATACTGGACAGGTTCCTGCTCAACGTCCTTGACCGAGCCTGGCATTCGGCCTGCGTCAAGTGTTGCGACTGCAAGAGTAACCTGACGGAGAAATGTTTCTTCAGGGACGGCAAACTCTACTGCCGCACGGATTTTTTCAGGTCAGTCTTTTCTAGATCTGGTCAGTCTTTTCTAGACTAAGTCAGTCTTTTTTAGAATAGGTCAGTCTGTTCTAGAACAAGACTAGGATTTAAATTATATTTAATTCATAATTTCAATAGGCCTATATTGTCTAATATATAATTTTAGTAAATCATAAATTATAACTTGTGCACTTTATACATTATAATGCCTGTAAATTGTAAATTATAATGTCCGTTAATCATACATTATAAATTTAGCGATTACTAGAGTTGTTTAACAGAAGTACTTTCTAGTTCATAAAGTCAGTAATAACCAATGTCTAACGTCATTAGAATCTTGTTGAACATGTTAGAGACTCATGGCTTGTTCAAATGTTCACCGGACACACCATAATAGTTGTATAAATAGTAGAACTTGTGTAGCGAATGAAAACATAATACATCTTTCTGGATTTAGTCTGGTAGAGTTGCTATGAAACCAAGAAATAATCAGTGGCTTAATGACACAACGTTTAATTAAGCTTTTTCTCAACACCTTAATATTACCAACACCACAACTGCAACTATTATTTGGGGATATCGCAGTAATCAAATTTATCACTCAAAGCTTCTGTTTAGTTTACATTGTATATATGTGAAGGATATTATCTAAATAGAAATATTTGGAGTTTGGCCCTACCGATAAAAATACGCTTCACATTTTTTTTTATTTTGTAAAGTGTGTAGTTTCTTCTTTAATGAACATAAATCACAAATTAATTAAGTGAACAGTGTGAAATATTATCTACAATTTTTCTGAGTAATAATATCAACACAATTTTTTTTTTTATATTGTTGAGGGAGAAAATATGTAATAATAAAAATGGATTAAATTTCAACTAAAAACAAAGTAATTCAGAACAAATTTTTTGTGTGCCATAACTCGCCAACAGACCCGCACTTAGCTGAAGATGAAGGTCACATTTTTTATTTTTGATGAGATCAACTCAACATTTCCCACCTCGAATGTTAGTTTTGGCTGGTCAGATTTTGTTTACACAGGACAAACTTCATGCGATCTCAACAAATCATTTCATTACGCTATAGCAAATCACGATGCGCGTAATCGCCCGGCATATAAGCTATCATTCAGCATCAGCAGCACATAAATTAGTCTTTAATTAGCTGGGTGTAATGAGATGAAATATTTTAAATTGGGGAATAAACGTGCGGGCTGTCAGGCGGTGTTAATGATTGGAGTTGAGCTAGTTTTATGAGGGACGGGTCGGTTGTTTCATAACGCCTGACCGCTGGGGTTGGTGTAGAACAGTGGTTGTTTCATAACGCCTGACCGCTGGGGTTGATGTAGAACAGTGGTTGTTTCATAACGCCTGACCGCTGGGGTTGATGTAGAACAGTGGTTGTTTCATAACGCCTGACCGCTGGGGTTGGTGTAGAACAGTGGTTGTTTCATAACGCCTGACCGCTGGGGTTGGTGTAGACCAGTGGTTGTTTCATAACGCCTGACCGCTGGGGTTGGTGTAGAACAGTGGTTGTTTCATAACGCCTGACCGCTGGGGTTGGTGTAGACCAGTGGTTGTTTCATAACGCCTGACCGCTGGGGTTGATGTAGACCAGTGGTTGTTTCATAACGCCTGACCGCTGGGGTTGGTGTAGCCCAGTGGTTGTTTCATAACGCCTGACCGCTGGGGTTGATGTAGACCAGTGGTTGTTTCATAACGCCTGACCGCTGGGGTTGGTGTAGACTAGTGGTTGTTTCATAACGCCTGACCGCTGGGGTTGATGTAGACCAGTGGTTGTTTCATAACGCCTGACCGCTGGGGTTGGTGTAGACCAGTGGTTGTTTCATAACGCCTGACCGCTGGGGTTGATGTAGACTAGTGGTTGTTTCATAACGCCTGACCGCTGGGGTTGATGTAGACCAGTGGTTGTTTCATAACGCCTGACCGCTGGGGTTGGTGTAGCCCAGTGGTTGTTTCATAACGCCTGACCGCTGGGGTTGATGTAGACCAGTGGTTGTTTCATAACGCCTGACCGCTGGGGTTGGTGTAGACTAGTGGTTGTTTCATAACGCCTGACCGCTGGGGTTGATGTAGACCAGTGGTTGTTTCATAACGCCTGACCGCTGGGGTTGATGTAGACCAGTGGTTGTTTCATAACGCCTGACCGCTGGGGTTGATGTAGACCAGTGGTTGTTTCATAACGCCTGACCGCTGGGGTTGATGTAGACCAGTGGTTGTTTCATAACGCCTGACCGCTGGGGTTGGTGTAGACTAGTGGTTGTTTCATAACGCCTGACCGCTGGGGTTGATGTAGACCAGTGGTTGTTTCATAACGCCTGACCGCTGGGGTTGGTGTAGACCAGTGGTCCTCACACGGTTGTTAGAGGCGACTGGCCTAAAGATATGTAGCACTGGTCTTAAGTTATGTAGCACTGATCTTAAGATATGTAGCACTGGTCTTAAGATATGTAGCACTGGTCTTAAGATATGTAGCACTGGTCTTAAGATATGTAGCACTGGTCTTAAGATATGTAGCACTGGTCTTAAGATATGTAGCACTGGTCTTAAGATATGTAGCACGGGTCTTAAGATATGTAGCACTGGTCTTAAGATATGTAGCACTGGTCTTAAGATATGTAGCACTGGTCTTAAGATATGTAGCACGGGTCTTAAGATATGTAGCACTGGTCTTAAGATATGTAGCACTGGTCTTAAGATATGTAGCACTGGTCTTATGTTATGTAGCTCTTGTCTTGAGACGTATTTGTTGTGGTCTTTAAAATTATTTAGCCCCGGGTTTAACTGGAGCACTGACTTTCGTAAATGACCTCTCTGTTCTCAAACTACTTTCATGAATCGATGTAAATCAACAAGGTAAATGTCATAAATTAAACGGCATGTCGGTAAATTTTTTTCAATAGCATTTTTTCCTGAAGGGTGGGCGTGAGGGGGGGGGGGGGGCATCATTAGGGAGGGGACATTAGAGTGAAGCACTGAAGTGGAGAACATTAATCGACAGCTTAAGAAAACACGTAATGTGAGACGCCAATTATGAAAGAAAATCTTGCCGTATTTTTACCAGTAAAGGTTGTAGAGGAGGGTTGGGGTTTATAGCGGCTTATTTCTGGTTAGCTGGTTACAACCGTTTAAACCGGTTAACCGGCATGACTTCCGGTAAGCCGGCATGAAATCCGTTTAGCCGGCGTGAGATCCGGTTAGCCCAAAGGTCATTTCGCACCGGTTAAACTACGATGTTTCTGATCTCAGGTCAGTGCAGACTTGAGGTCTATACAGTCAGGTAACAATGCAAATCTTTCGGTCAATTTACACCAACAGTTCAGGTCATTTGGACAACTTGACCCAGTAAAATTAATTTGGCAACATGTGCCGAACATATACAAAAAATGACTATAATATGCGTGTTTAGTTGAACTCTTGTGAGTGAAGTATGTGCTCGCTTTTTTGAGAAGGCCCCCTATCAAGTTCTTTGACCTTGCTAGTTTTTATCAGTGTTAGGTTTTGTATGGTGTGCTTCGTGACGTAATGTACGCCCCTTTGTGACTCACACTGGCTAGAATGTGCTCACGTTTTGTAGAGAGATGGTCACGGTACACTTGTCACTAGGCCGTATAGACTTGTCACTAGATTATGTAGACTGGTCGCTAGATTATGTAGACTTGTCTCTAGACCAAGTATACTTGTCGTTAGATTATGTAGACTTGTCACTAGACCAGGTATACTTGTCGTTAGATTATGTAGACTTGTCTCTAGACCAAGTATACTTGTCGTTAGATTATGTAGACTTGTCACTAGACCAGGTATACTTGTCGTTAGATTATGTAGACTTGTCACTAGACCAGGTATACTTGTCGTTAGATTATGTAGACTTGTCACTAGACCAGGTATACTTGTCGTTAGATTATGTAGACTTGTCGCTAGATGATTATCTATACTTGTCACTAGACCAGGTATACTTGTCACTAGATTATGTAGACTTGTCTCTAGAAAAGTTAGACCTGTCACTTGTTTTCGTCATTATTTCTGAGCAAATAACAAAAACGTCAAAGTTTGGAAACGTCAGACAAACTTGTCGTTTGATGGTTCTCTGAACTGACAGATGAGACAAGAGTGTGATTGACAGTTCACTGACAGGCAGTTTAATGACTGACAGTTAAATAAGACCGGACATTGACTTATAACTTGGGCTGGACAATGACGGACAACGTAAATCGGCCATGGAGTGACACATGAGGCCGGACATTGGCGGACAAGTGAAATGGGACAAATGATGACCTAGAACAGGGCATTGACTTATAACTTAGACCGGATATCGGATGATAACTTAGACCGGACATTGACGGACAACTTAGACAATACATTGACGGACAACTTAGACCGGACAATGGCGGACAAGTGAGCAGTATTGAACCGACAAGTGAGCCCCCTCCCACCCCCTCCCACCCCAGCAGCACCACCGGGCCGGGTACATTATTGATGAGCGTGCACAAAGTCAGGCGAGCCCGTGGGTCTCCGGTTACCGCACATAAACCCGAGAGGGGTGAAACGGCTAGGGTTGCGGGTATCACGTGACCGGTCTGGCCGAGGTAAAAATATCCCCGTCTCCAATTTTTATTCAACAATTTTAGTCTACGATTACAACTTAAGACGCCGGCACAATCACGTACCAAACACAAACACAATGGCGACATTGTACATTAATACACATTGACAATATTTATTGGGTGAGCAGCTATAGCACGCGCTTCACTGGAGCTGCGTTATGTGCTTTGTTGACATGACTTGAGTTTGAAAAGGGCAACACCTTGTCAATAAGACTGATATGAAATTCATGCAAATGGTCGGTGGTGTGGGGAGGGGGTGGGGGTGCTGCAGTATATGAGAACCGTGGGTTAAATGAATGAATGAGTCACAGCTAATCATATATTGGATGATTCCCTTTATGTAAATTATTGAATGATTTGTTTTGTAAATACGATCGACAACTCTATAAGCATTGGAAAGTGTTCTGTTAATGACATCAAGAGTACCGGGACTTAAATTCACATAGACATGAGATAAAAGTAGTTCAGGCATATTAATACATCAGTACTTTTCTAAAATATTCAAAACGTAGTGTATTATTTTTATTTTGCAAAATATTTCTGTATTTTTATTTAGAAATGTTTTTAAGTATTCATTTTTCAAAGAAATAGTTGTTTAAAATAATTCTTTCTGTTTGTCAAAATATTTATTTTTTGAACATTTCCTGTTTGTAGAATATTTGTTCTAAAATATCTTTTTGTTAATGAAAATATTTAGCCGTACACAGCTGGCAACAAAGTATACGAAACCGGTTCGATTATCCAAAGGAAAAGATTAAAAAATATACCCCCACCCCACCCCTCCCTGGGCTGCGTGTGTTTACATTCAACACACATGCTAAAGCAACAAATGTTGTTGTTCCAACTTTTATTGGTGTTGTTGTTGTTTTAGTTGATCCGAGAAGGCTAGCCTTCGCAACATGTGTTGTTAAATAAACCACTGCACCATGCTTCTTTGTTTCATGCATACACACGCATAAAACTGCACACTCCAAAACTACTCATCTCAGAACTAAGCGCCCTAAACTAGACACCCCGTAAATACACACACTAAAACTACACACCCCAGAATTGCACACACCAAAACTACACACCCCAGAACTGCACACCCCGAAACTACACACCCCAGAATTGCACACACCAAAACTACACACCCCAGAACTGCACGCCCCAAAACTACACACCTCAGAATCGCACACGCCAAAACTACACACCCCAGAATTTCACACTTCAAAACTACACAACATAAATCACTGAACAACAGACAACAAGCAATGTCTTATTATCAGTAATAATAATAATAATAATTTGTAAACACATTTCATGAATGGCCTTGGTCTAAATTTTGTGTTTGCTTTCTCCTACAGGCGGTACGGCACCAAATGTGCAGGGTGCTCACAGGGAATTTCCCCAAACGACTTGGTGCGCAGGGCGCGTAACAAAGTCTTTCACCTCAAGTGCTTCACGTGCGTGGTGTGCAGAAAGCAGCTCTCCACGGGCGAGGAGCTGTACGTCTTGGAGGAAAACAAATTCATTTGTAAAGAGGACTATATAAATAGCAAATATGCGGGTGAGTCTGATCTTTAGTTTTCAAAAATAAAAAAAATAAAAAAATCTTTTAAGCCATTTTTCAGCCATTCAGTACGTCATATCTGCAGCGAATTATTTATGCAGTTGGAAAAATGATACTCTCCTAACCGTGGCTGCACGCGCCGACACGATACTCTCAAAGACATAACTAATCGATAATTTAACATTCGCATGATGAATCGTTAATGACAGATACCATAAAAAGAAATTAAAAAAAGGTAGTTAATGTTTTTAATCAGGTCATGAACAGACTGAGAGATACACACACAAAAATTGCAAGGAAAGTTTTTAAAAGTTATTTTATTATGCGCGTTGAAAAATAGCTTTTGAAACTGCTTAAAATAGAAGACGTAGTTTTAAAAAGTTGTTACAAATTTTTCTCTTCTGACCCGGAGAATGGGCAGAGCGTGACTGGCACAGAGCCCTATATTGTATCAGACGCCCGTAAGACCTGGCATAACCAGGCATTCTCCTCCCCTCCCCATGCGCCCCTTCCCTGCCCATCGCCCGTATAAAGTAACTACGGCCGGCGTTTGTCGCTTAATAAACTTATCGAAATATCTGTCTACGCCATCTTTCATAGATGGCGCCACCAGCCCGTGTGCTACCACTCTTGTACGACCGGCAAGCCTATCAATATCTCCATCTCCGGCTGCCGGTTGCCGGCTCTAGTGCCTCTACTCGCCACCATAGCACCCCCTCCCCTTTATTGGCTGGGTGTTAGGAGTACGTTAAGCGTGTGACAGTCTCCATCAAAGCCTGGGTACTGGCAACTGCTGCGCACAGAAGAGAGAAAATAGAAACTCTGTTGTTTAAACTTGGCCTGTTACGGAACTTTGCGGGCGATTAAAGAAAATTGAAACCGCTGATAGTTATCTGATCTGCCTTGTTGAATATGATGTAGTGTGGTGTGTGAATGTGGGAGGGGGAGGCAGACTTTAGGGCGCATGGCGTAGTGACAATACTAGTCGCATAATGACTGCTGGGTGTGTCATACTGTTGATGTGCTGACATTTATATTTAATGGCGGGTCCTTTGAAAACTTCTCAATATCCGTCAGCCATTACTAAACAGTTGTGGTTAATTATGGTGGGGTATGGCTGGTTAATCCCATTTATAATCCCACAAACCATAAAGTGGTAGGACACTACTCTCTACAACAGGGCCATGAGACACTACTCTCTACAATATAATAGGGCCATGGGAACTACTCTCTATAACAGGAACATTACTCTCTACAAGAGGACCATGGGATACAACTCTCTACAATAGGGCTATAGGACCTACTCTCTATAACAGGGCAATGGGATACCAGAGGGCCCATTGTTTACAATGCATGATTGCACTTTGTGCGCCGACTCGCCAAATGCTGGGATTGTGTTCTAGGCACAAGTCATTTGAATAGAATATGACTTCATCTGGATCCAAACCTAACCCCAGTAACACATCTAACTAACTACAATATGACAAACATCCTTGAATTTCAGCAACCTAGTGATTATAGGTCAATGTTTGGCTCACAAAATAAATAATAAACTTCCGTCACACACGTTGTAGAAAATATTTGAAGATGGAGCGATATTAAAGTAAAGAAAAAGGACACGACATACGATGGAAGTGTTGAGACGGGTGTTCAGTGGGTGGGGGGAATGGGGTGTGTATAGGGGTGGGAATGCTGGAGATGTGTGTGAGGGTGGGGGAGTGCTGGGGGTGTTGAGGTGCCATGTGTCTGTTGAAGAGGTGCAGCGTGAAAGAGGGCGGGGGTTGAAGTGGGCTCCGGCGTGTTTGGAGGGCCGTGACACTGTTCTAGAGGCCCACGACGAGATCTCGCGGACACCACGACGAGATCTCGCGGACACCCGGCCAACAATCGGACCACCGGGCCACCACGCCTTTTCCCAACGACTGAAAACCCACTTGAGGAAGTTGTTAAGTTGCTGTCGAGGGCGTATGAAAGCGGGGCTAGTGGTCATCGTGGCTACTGGTCATTCAGTGTCCGAGCTACTTTCTTTCACTTCAATTTCTCAATCGTCTGCTCCCTCCTTCATCGACCCCCCTCTCTAGCCCCATTCAGCGAGTTGTTTTATTTCTTCGGACCCAGTCTCAGGACGAAATCTTGTGAACGAAATTTTGTGGACGAAATTTTGTGGACACCAAAGATTTTCTCAAACACCTGATGTCTGTGATTGTTCGCCTCAGCTCAAGGCCAGCAACACCAATCTTTCAACCACAATCTTTCAACAACAATCTTTCAACAGCAATCTTTCAACAACAATCTTTCAACAACAATCTTTCAACAGAAATCTTTCAACATCAATCTTTCAACAACAATCTTTCAACAACAATTTTTCAACATCAATCTTTCAACGGCAATTTTTCAACAATCTTTCAACAACAATCTTTCAACAGAAATCTTTCAACATCAATCTTTCAACAACAATCTTTCAACAACAATTTTTCAACATCAATCTTTCAACAGCAATCTTTCAACAATCTTTCAACAACACTCTTTTAACAACTATCTTTCAACAACAAATATTTGTCATCGTTTGCTACAGCAACCACCCTTTCACCATTTCACCCACAAACCCCTTACGTCGATGACGTAATAAAATCAGTGCAGTACTCACACTGATACACGCAAACAGATTTTTTATTCTTAGTCTTTACCCCACCCCCCCTAAACTCTAGATAGCCTATAAATATTTGATACAAACTATTCTCTTAAGGCTGAACTAAATTTTTTCAATACAAATGCTCAGGGTTATGTTGGCTGACTGCTCACCTTACACCATATACCATCCAGTCGTCAGGTTTATTTTAACGAGAGTGAGCATTGTTGATGCCTACCCCCCCTCCCCTTTAGGTCTGCCTAAAATCACATACAAATAAATGCTGGTAAAATTTCGGGCCCCTATCAACCCCTCTTCTGTCCCCCCCTACCCCCCCCCCCCCCATCTGCCCCTGCACTGTTTACTTACCATCGAACAATAAGCCCTTGACCACGAGGGTCTACAGCAGACACATTTGGGCAGAGGAGGAAGTAAAGGTCTCGTGTCACGTGATTGGTTTAATTAATGCGTCATTCCACGGACGCATCTGCGCTGATTAACTTTGCTATTTATAGGCCCTGATCAGGAAACAACAACATGCCACAAGTGAACTTTATCCAGGCGAACTATTTGACACAAAATTAATGCATAAATAAACGCGGTGGCATCGGGCTGTGTGACACGGAGTGGGGGGGGGGGGGGAACGGGGGGGGGGACAGGCAGGTCTGAGGGGGGGGGGGTGAGGGTAGGGGAGGCAGGTCGGAGGACATGGTCTTTTCAAAGTCTGAGGGGTGAGGGGTAAATTTAATGAAAACACTGGAACAATACAAGAAGAACATGTTCCAATTAAAATATTTCGTTAAGACAATAAATAAAACGTGGTCTGGATGTTAGTCTGTTTATGTTTAAATGAATGCATGTAAATATGTATTTGTATTAATAAAAGTTGACTGTTAATTAGACATGCAGGTATGATCCCATTAAGGTGGTGTTGTTGTTGTGGTTGTATGCTGGTGTCGGGGGGTCGAAGTCTTGGCGTGGCTGGGATTTGAACCGTGGGTCGCTTGGCACTTGGCGCTGGGCCTAATTAACACCGCCCTTGATTCCTCACGTTCCGTTAATTGATTAATTGGCGCGAGGTACCAGAAATCTGGCGTTATCAGGGCCGATCGTGTTGAGCCGAGAGCTGACCCCCCTTCTGACACCAGTATTTCCCCCATGGTGTAGGTGATTCGATTAGCCGTGTATCCTGTCCCACGGGCCGTCTGGGGGGGGGGGGGGGGGTGATAAGACTGGAATTAAACGACCTCGAGCCTCTGGAACTGACCACACCAGAACACCCGCACTAATCTCCACCCTGCAAGATAAACATGTATTGCTATTTATATAAATACAGTGAGTCACCTCAGCTTTATTCAGTACCTGACCAAAGTTGGGAAAAGAAACAGCTTTAGTTTTAATTATAAAATATTTCGCAAGACTTGGCGAGATATAACTAGACTCTACTTCGTCTGAAATTCACGGTGTTTAAATCACAGACAATTTAATTATAATAAAGTTTATTATATTTCACGTACATTATTCCAGAACATTCTGAGACATACGTAACTCCATCGGACCACAACATCTGACACGACCCACCCCCACGATCCGCCCCACCCCCCACTGCCCGTCCCACCTGTTTGAGCGCTCGTCGCCTAAGAGCCAGAATGCTAAACCTAACTCTAATCTTATCGGGCGAAAGTCGCCACGGTAACCCGAGCCGCCTAAACTCTGGCTTCGAGCAGCTAATCAGGGAAAATTGAGAGGGGGAGTAGCGTCCCTTGGTACGGGGAATTCCCCACAGAACTCTGGCCCACAGTGGAGTTGTGTGATTGAAACGTCGGCTGTTTGGTGCCGTCGGCCGGGCGAACTATCGGCTGTTGGTGCCGTCACTCGAGCGAAGTAAGCTTGAGCATCCTTGGCGAGCCCTTGGCGAGTGACGTCTTGCTGGTCTGACGTCACAAGACACATCGCCAGCATAACTAAATGCTTGGTTAGGGTCTGGTCAGCTGAATGCATAACTAGTAACATTTATCATAAAGACAAGTGATTATAACAAGTTTATTAGTTATTGATCAGTTAAAATTGATTTAATCTGGGAAACCAATTTTACAGAAGTAATAACTGATTCATTGACAGAATTCGATAAGTAACAAACATCGAACATAGACTACCCATATAACTTGTATTTTTATATGTGATTTTCATAGATATAGACCTGTGCATACAAGTGTACACACACACACACACATATATATATATATATATATATATATATATATATATATATATATATATATATATATATATATATATATATATATATATATATATATAAGTGTGTGTGTGTGTGTGTGTGCGACATATATAGAGTGTGTGTTTGTAG